AGAGAGAGAGAGCACATGAGAGGGGGGAGGGTCAGAGGGAGAAGCAGACTCCCCGCCGAGCAGGGAGCCCGATGCGGGACTCGATCCCGGGACTCCAGGATCATGACCTGAGCCGAAGGCAGTCGCTTAACCAACTGAGCCACCCAGGCGCCCCTAAGCGTCTGCTTTCTGCTCAGGTCATGATCTCAGGGTCCTGGGATCAACTCCCTGCTCAGTAGGAAGTCTGCCTTTCCCTCAGCCTCCCCCCGACCCCCATGTGTGTGCATGTGCGTGTGCGCTTGCTCTCTCAAATAATTAAAATCTTCTTTTTTGTAATTTTAAAAAAGATTTTATTTATATATTTGACACAGAGAGAGAGCACAAGCAGGGGGAGCGGCAGGCAGAGGGAGAGGGAAAAGCAGACTCCCCACTGAGAGGGGAGCCCGACACAGGGCTCAATCTCAGGACCCCGAAACCATGACCCAAGCCGAAGCCAGATGCCCAACTGACTGAGCCACCCGGGTGCCCCAAATAAAATCTTTAAAAAAAAAAAAAAAAAAGGCAGGATGGACTCACATCCAGGCCCTTCCCAGATGGGTTTCACCAATGTTCCAACCTCAAGAACCAAGTGGCAGAAAGCCTAATGCCCACCAGGGGAAGCACAAAGTTATTGGCCTCATAACACAACAGCCCAGGAATAGGCCTGGCCGCAGGTTCTCAAGTGATGTCACCAGGGATCAGTTTTTATCTTCATTCTGCAGTGGCAAGGCCTCTGGACTGGCTCAGCTCTTAGGTCCTATTGTGAATGGATGTTACAGCCCCCAACCTCACTGGGATGTCCTTATTAACTTACTTACTTTATGTATGTATGTATGTATGCATGTTTTTTTTTTTTTTTTAAGATTTTATTTATTTGACAGAGAGAGACACAGCGAGAGAGGGAACACAAGCAGGGGGAGCGGGAGAGGCAGAAGCAGGCTTCCCGCTGAGCAGGGAGCCCGATGCGGGGCTCGATCCCAGGACCCTGGGATCATGACCTGAGCCGAAGGCAGACGCTTAACAACTGAGCCACCCAGGCGCCTGTATCCATGTATTTATAAGTAATCTCTACACCCAAGGTGGGGCTCAAACTCGCAACCTGGAGATCAGGAGTGGCAGGCTGCACCAGCTGAGCCAGCCAGGCATAAGGAGGCTGGCCTCACTTCTGAAACCCATTCTGATTGGACTGGTGGATGTCATGTGACCATGCGTGCGCCAATCATCACAGCCAAGAGAAAGTGATATAAAGATGGGCCAAGGCGAGGAGCGCCTGGGTGGCTCTGCTGGTTAAGAGTGGGGCTCTCAGGTTCAGCTCAGGGCGTGATTTCAGGATTGAGCGACTTTGGTGCCCTGCGTCTGGCTGTGCCCTCAGTGGGGAGACGGCTTGAGACTCGCTCTCTCCTCCCTCTGCCCCTCCCCTGGCTCGAGTGTGGGCACACGCTGTCTCTTTCAAATAAATAATAAATAGTTTAAAAAAAAAAAAAAAGTTGGCCAAGCTAGATCATATGCTTCCTTCATCCCTGATGCTGAGGGTTTAGACCCATCCTCGTGACATTAGGTGGGAGGGGAACAGTGGCTCTCCAAATAAACATCAGGCAGGGGATAGATACTAGGGAGGCAGCCAACCAATGACCATTATGGTGCAAACCCTCTCCACTTGCTACCAGCCTGGAAGTCTCTTCCCCTTTCCCCAAATCAGTTAAGTCTGTTCCTACCTCCTGCCTTTGGCCTGGACCCTCACTTGGCCAGAAGTGCCCTTTTTATTCCTCCTTTTCTGAGACACAGATTGAATGCCCCCCTTTCCAGTTTGGTTCACAAACATTTGCTGAGCCCTTTCCCTCTATCGTGAACCTGTAGACACAGAGAAGAAACAGGTACAGTCCCTGACCTCTAGGAACTTACACTTCAGGGAACAATATTAGAAGCTACCATTTGAGGGTCTGCTGTGTGCTAAGCACTGTTATGCCCTTTCATACATACATCACCTCATTTAATTTACACACACAAAAAATGTAGCACTCTCCTTATTAGCCTCTGAGCACCACCCCCCTTCTCAGGCTGAGCTTTGGGAAAATCCACCAGACCTTCAGCCTCATCTCATGCCAGTCCTTCATTCTTGCTTGCATGCACCAAACTTTTTTCGAGTCCTTGAATATACCATGCTCTTTTCCACCCCAGGACTTTTGCATATTCAGGTTCCTTCATCCAAAATGCTCTTTCTCCTATTTTGCCTAATTAAACTATTCATCCTTCAGGGGTGCCTGGATGGCTCAGTCGCAAGAGAAGGCAACTCTTGATCTCAGGGTTGGGGGGGGCCAGGAGTTTGAGCCCCACATTGGGTGTTAGAGATTACTTAAAAATAATAATAAAATTTTTAAAAAATGTTAGTTTTGGGGGCACCGGGGTGACTCAGTTGGTTAAGTGTCTGCCTTCTGCTCAGGTCATGGTCTTGGAATCGAGCCCGGCATCTGGCTCCCTGCTTAGGAGGGAGTCTGCTTCACCTTCTTCCTCTGCCCACCACCCACCTTGTGCTCTCTCTCTCAAATAAATAAATAAAATATTTAAAAATAAATAAATAAAAATGTCAGTTTTTAAAAAAATAATTTAAATAAACTATTCATCCTTCAGATCTCACATCAAACATTGCTCTGAGGAGATCGTCCCTTACCTTCCAGACCAGGCCAGGGCCCCTGCTTGGAAGCTTTTAGGGCACACTACTGTTCTTCATAGCACTACTCACAAGTATAATTATATACTCATTTGTGTTTAGTGTCTGTTAGCACTCTCTCCACCAGCCAGTAAGTTCCCATGAGGGCAAGACTGGGGTCTGTTCTGCTTACCAGATGGTTTTATGTAGCACATCAAAAGCTCAGCAAATATTTGTTGAATGAATAAGTTGGATATCCATGTAGCTATCCCCCAATCCGTGATGGAGAGGAGTCGGGTCAATACCTGTGAATGTTGCCATAACCCAGAATGTGACAAAACAATGCTTAATTTGGAGCCAAATGGTACAGACATTAAGTTCAGTGGTTGTTATAAAAGAAAAGTAGTTAATGCTGTATCTTTAGATAGGAGACAGTGAGGCATTCAGACAGACCTGGTTCTGGGATTCAGCTTTTGCAAGGGTTTAGGACAACTTCAGGGAGTTTAGGGGGAAACAGTCCCAAGACTGCTTTTCTTACGCTGAAGGCACTGGAAAGTATGCTTTCTCTTTTGGGACTGAGAGCTGTCAAGTCAATGAAACCTAGAGCTGTTCTATAGCCATCTTTCTTTCTTTCTTTCTTCCTTTTTTTTTTTTTTTAAAGATTTTATTTATTTGACAGATAGGGACACAGCGAGAGAGGGGACACAAGCAGGGGCAGAGGGAGAGGGAGAACTAGACTCCCCACTAAGCAAGGAGCCTGATTGGGACTCGATCCCAGGACGCTGGGACCACAACCCGAGCCAAAGGCAGACGCTTAACGACTGAGCCACCCAGGTGCCCTATAGCCATCTTTCTGGACTGCATGGAAAGAATTGAGGGATGCTGAGACAGAGGGAGCCCTGAAAACCTCTCTTGAGCCTTTAGGATCTAGCCATACCCCAAACTCCTGTACTTCTAGAGATTGTCGGTAATTCTTTTCTCCCTCACCCCCTTCTTTGCTTTAGTTTTTGGTTGGTTCCTGTCATCGGCAACTGCTAGAAATCTGGTTAACACAATGTTGAAATAAATCTGATTAAGATCTTAAGTGGGCAGGAAACCCAAGTCAAATAATAAAGGCTTTATTTTTTAAAAAAAGATTTTATTTATTTATTTGAGAGAGAGAATGAGATAGAGAGAGAGCATGAGAGGGGGGAGGGTCAGAGGGAGAAGCAGACTCCCTGCTGAGCAGGGAGCCCGATGCAGGACACCATCCTGGGACTCCAGGATCAGGACCTGAGCCGAAGGCAGTCGCCTAACGCCTGAACCACCCAGGCGCCCCTCATAAAGGCTTTAGGATAGAACCTGGCACATGATAGGCACTCATCGTTCAGGAAACACCGTTCCTGTAGTTCCCTGTACTTGTCCACTAAAGTACATATCACAATTTTAATTGAGTAATTATTGTCATCAATTGCTCACTGTCTTCCAACTACATTGTAAGCTTCATTTGTGTGGGGACTGTAACTTATTCCCTGTATTCCTTACACCCAACAGATGACCTAGCACAGAGGTGATCAGTAAATAGCTCTGAATGAATGAAAGAATGAATGCATGCATGCTACTTAAGAGCATGGGCTTTAGGGTGAGAAAGACTCCAAAAACGCCAAGTGAGACCCAAGGCTGAAGTCCTGCTTCTTGCCACTTGTCTTCATGTGGGCATGCCACACAAGCTCTTCTGAGCTTGTTTTCTCAGCTGTAAAATGGGGATGATAATATTACCTTTTTCATGGATTGTTTCTTACAATAAATGGAAATGTGCGAGTGAAGTGTTAGTACAGCTATTAAGACAGTTCTTCCTAGCAAGTACAAAACAGACGTCTGTGAAGGAGCGGTCTGTTAAGGAGACTCCTCCTCGCTTCCGTTCTCTCAACCCACTCTTCAACCCCCGGCAGAACAAGACCGGTCTTGTCAATTCACAGAAGAGGAAACAGGCAGGACCACGCAGGAGAAGGGCTCGGTCCAGGACCCAGCCCCGAGCGGCAGAGCCTCGGGCCTGCGCGCACTCGGGGCGGGCGGGAGCCCACCGCTCGGCCCTCTCCAGCAGCCCGGTTCCCGGCTGCGCGACCCCGCGGCTCCCCGCCCGGCCGGGCCCGGGCCGGTCCCCCTCGGGCCCCACTCTCTCCCGCACAGGCCCCGCCCCTCTCCCCGGGGTTGGGCCCCGCCCCCACGCCCCCCGGCGCAGGCCCCGCCCCTCTGCCCCCATTCTCTCCGGCGCAGGCCCCGCCCCACTCCGCGTGGGCGCCGCCGCTCCCCGCCGACTCTCCGCGCTCGGGCCCCGCCCCCGCTGCCCCGGCTCCGCAGCCCGCCTGCCCCCTGCCCGCCAGCCCCACGCGGACTCTCTTTGTTCCGGAGCCGCCCGCCAGGGTCCCCGGAGCCGCTGACTCAGCGCAGTGGAGCCAGCCTTTGGCGCCCTCGCCCCCACCCCACTCTCCCTGGAGACCTGGAGGCTGGCGCCCCGGGAGGTGGGAGGTGCGAGTGCGCCGGCCCAGCCCTTCTTTTGTTCCCCAGGACGTTCCTTTGCTCCAGCCCTCCCAACCTGGAGAGTCTGCGGTTACTGTTTCAGGTTATGTTTCGGGAAACTGACACCAAGTAAGCCGCCCTGAAACCTGGCTCCTGCCACGTCCTAGTTGTTGATCTTCCGTAAGTCCTTCGACCTCCCTGAACCTCCGTTTCCTCACTTGTAATGTGGGAGCCAGAATGCCAGATTTGGAAGAGACCCTGTGAGATTAAATGCGAAAACAGTACTTTAAAACTGAAGGCACAAAGTGAACGTTAGAGACTTGCTTTTGGAAGGTCTACACTGATAAAAAGCTAACGTTTATGTGTTGAGTTAGGCCCTCCCTCATCCTACTTCGCAGGGACAATTTGTCATCCCCTAGGGCCTTTCAAATCTCTCTTTGTTAGTGGGGGCCCTCCCTGATCTCTAGGGTACACCCACGCCCGCATGGAGTCAGCCCGTCGCACATTTCCCTAGTATACGGTAACTTCCCCTATTCAAATACTTTAAAAAAAAATGAGTTATAGTTTACCTTTGATGAAATGCACAGACAGAACTTACACATACAGTACCACGAGTTTTGAGAAATGAAAACACCCCTGTAACCCACATCTCTTTCAAGACAGAACATCTCCAGCCCCACAGAAAGTTCTCTGGAGTTCCTCTCCAATGAATCCCACACCTGACCCCAGGCAACCACTGTACCCACTTCTCTCACACTAGGTAAGTTTTGCCTGTTCTAGAACAATATAAATTAAAGCATACAATCTGTTGTGTTTTTTCTTCTTTTTTTAAAGTAGACTCCCTGCCCAGGGTGGAGCCCCAAATGCAGGGCTTGAACTCAGGACCCTGAGATCAAGATCTGAGCTGAGATCAAGAGTCAGAGCTTAACTAACTGAACCACCGAGGCACCCCTAGACTTATGTTTTTTTGAATCTGGCTTATTTCATTCAGTATAATCTTCTTGAGATTCATCCATATCCTTTCTCCTCTCCTCTTCCTCCTTCTCCTTCTTTGAGAGTCATCCATATGGGTGTATCAGTAATTTTTAAAAGTTGATTGAAACTGATGAGTAGTATTTCATTATATAACTACACCATAACTTGCGTATCCTTTTTTCCCCCCTGTTGATAGACAGTTGCATTTTTTTCAGTTTGGGGTTGTTATTAACCCCAAATTTGTAGAATATTCTTATACAAATTTTTTTGTGGCCCTGAGTTTTTATTTATCTTGGATAAAGGAGTGGAATTGCTGGATCATAGATTTAATCTTGTAGATTTAATCTTGTAAGAAACTGCAAAATAGTCCTCTAAAGTGGTTGTAGCATTTTACATTTTCACCATCAGTGTGTGAGAAGTTCTGTTGTTCCGCATCCTCCTGAGCATTTGGCATTGCCAAACTTTTTACTTTAGTCATGTAATGGATATAGTACATCTTTTTATGGCATTACTTTTAAAAATAAGATCAATGTTTTTTTAAAAAAGTGATTAATAGAAGTATACAATTGCAAAGGTACAAAAGGCTATTCAGTAAAAAAAGAGGCCCAGGTCACTCGATTTTTCTCCCTACAAGGTATCAGTTTTATGCATGGCTTTTGTCTCCATTCAAATTGTTCTTTTTGACTATCTGAGCTCCTCTCTACCAGCCTGAGCTCCTCTCCAGTGCTAATAAAAGTCCAATAAATATTGTGGATTGAATGCCAGGCACTGTTCTAGACAAGACATATAACCTATTACATCATCTCATTTTGATTCAAGAGGGTAGCAGAGTCCCTTTGGAGGAAGCCTGGAATTAAGTGATATCAATAAAATTTTGTTAACTGAATGAATGTTGATGAAGGAGACCCCTGGGGGTTCTTGCAGGCAGTGCAAGCTGGATCTTTTCTTTTTTTCCCATCACTTCTTACGTGTCAGGCACTGTGCAAACCAAAAACTACACATGCTATTTTTTTTTAAAGATTTTATTTATTTATTTGACAGAGAGACACAGCGAGAGAGGGAACACAAGCAGGAGGAGTGGGAGAGGGAGAAGCAGGCTTCCCACCGAGCACAGAGCCCAATGCAGGGCTCGATCCCAGGACCCTGGGGGTCATGATCTGAGCCGAAGGCAGACGCTTAACGACTGAGCCGCCCAGGCGCCCCTATACGTGCTATTTTTGTTGCCCAGCATTATTTCACCCTCAAGGTAACAGGACCTCAGGTTTTCTCGGGGAAATTGTCTTCCACTCAGCCCGCACTTCCATTGGCTCCAGGTGGGCAGGTGACTTGAGCCTAACCAAGCAAAGCACCTCAGCCCCTTGGCAACAGTGATTGGTTCAGGGATATGCCCACCATGCAATTTGGGCCAATGAAAGCCAGCCCTGGACTCGTGTTCAAACTGGTGGGCAAGTGGGCTCTCTCCTTTCTACTGGACTTGGAACTGTGGGGCTGGAAACCTGTGAGAGATGAGATCAAGGGAGTTATATATGAAGTTAGGCAGCAAGGCCTAGGGGTGAGGAAAAACGAGAAGGCCAGTGCAGTGCGTGAAAGAGGAGGACCCTTCACTGGGTCAGACAGAGGCCAGAGCTTGAGGGGCCAGGTGGGCCATGGACAGGGATTTGGATTTCACACTGAGAAGCTATTGGAGTCATATGATTTGATTCACATTTTTAAAAGATCATTCTGTGGAGATGACGCTGGGAATGAGGAGCAGGGGCATAGGAAGAAGGGAGACAGTTAGGAGGCATCGAGCTAGAAACCACAGACTTTGGAGTGGGGTAGTAGCTGTGGTGAAAAGTAAGTGATTTAGCGTGGCTCATTTGACAGAGAGAAACACACAGAGAGAGGGGACACAGCAGGGGGAGTGGCAGAGGGAGAAGCAGGCTTCCCGCCGAGCAGGGAGCCCGATGCGGGGCTTGAACCCAGGACCCTGGGATCACGACCTGAGCTGAAGGCAGACGCCCAACGACTGAGCCACCCAGGCGTCCCTACAGGGTTGTTTCTGATGACAATATTTGAGCCACTAGATCCAGCTATACCAAGATCTTCCTCCTGGACTTTCCAGTTACATGAGCCAATAAATTCTTTTTTGTGATTAAAGATAGTTTGATTTGGGATTCTGCCGCTTGGAAGTAAGATGAGTCATAGCTATGTGTATTATTTTATTTTATTTTATTTTTTTAAAGATTTTATTTATTTGACAGAGAGAGAGATAGCGAGAGCAAGAACACAAGCAGGGGGACTGGGAGAGGGAGAAGCAGACTTCCCGCCACGCAGGGAGCCCGACGCGGGACTTGATCCCGGGACCCCGGGATCATGACCTGAGCTGAAGGCAGACGCTCAACGACTGAGCCACCCAGGTGCCCCAACTATGTGTATTATTTTATTAATCTTCAAAAGAAATCTTTAGGATTGCCACTATTAGCCCAATTTTGCAGTTGAGAAAACGGGAGCTTAGAGAGGGAGAGTGAGTTGCCCAGGGCCATATAGAGTTGAAGTGACAGAGGTGGGATTCAGACCAAGTCACTAACCCCAAAGCCTGGGCAATTAACCCTACTGGCCACAGGTTATAAACTATACCCACCCAGGCCTGCCTAATATCATCTTTCTGACTGGCCCTCAATTCCTTTTGCTCTACCCTAAAGGAGAACCCAAGGCCTTTTAGTTCCATGGTGTGGCATGAGACCTTGTGTTCCAAAAGAGCCCTCAAGGGATCAGAATCCCACTTACCTCTTTACATGGTACTTAGGCAAAATGAGAGGGATCTTCAAGTTCTCAAGCAAGTTCTCAGTATTGACCGAGTTATACGTAGAGCATCTTCATGTATGTGAGAGACTCAAAAAACACGTGTCAGTATTGGGAACTGTAATGTATGATAGGATTGATCCTCTTAAAAGAGGCAGAAACTGAGATCAGGGATGCCTGGGTGGCTCACTCCATTAAGTATCTGCCTTTGGCTCAGGTCATGATCCTGGGGTCCTGGGATCGAGTCCCACATCGGGCCCTTTGCTCGGCGAGGAGCCTGCTTCTCTCTCTCCCTCTGCTTCTACCCCATGCTCCTGCTCGCGTGCTCTCTTTCTGTTGTGTGCGTGTGCGCGCGCGCAAAAATAAATAAAAATACTTAAAAAAAAATAAAACAAAAATTAAGAAGGAGGTTTTTATTCCCGAAAAGGATAAGGAAGGAGTGATGGCAGGCCAGTACAACAAATCTACTTCAGAAAGCTCTGGCCATTCCGTTATGACTTTATGCTGTTGAACCTGGGAATTTGTGTTGAAACGAGGCCAGATTTTGGAGGCAAACAGGCCTGAGTTCAAGTCCAAGGTCTGACACTGAGCTCTTCGAGCCTCCATCATTAGCTCACAGCATTGTTATGTGGCAGTGATTCAGTCATGAATTTTTTGATCGCAACCTGGACAGGATTAAAAGAAGTCATTCTAGTGCAAGAGGAGCACGGAACTTGGATATTGCATGATGTGTGCACAGTGCTCACAAGGATCCTGCCGGGTTAAGGCTTTTAGTACTGTTGCACTGTTTGAGAAGAACGATTTCCTGCCTTCACCGTGCTCTTTCATACTCAGAAAGCCAAGGTCTTGCATGTTACAGTCAAGACACGTCTCTCCCGGGCCTCAGCTGGGGTTCCTGGACCTCTCAGCCATCTGTCTGCTGGACATGAGGCTGGCAGTAGGTGTGCTCAGGAAAAGCATGGGAAGTCATTGCACACATGGATCCGGATTCAGCAGCATACCCGTGAAGACTGCAGTGAGGGACAGTTGAGGACACCGGCCTGAATCGGCTCCAGTGCAGCTGTGGCCCAGAACAGGAATCCCCACGGCAACTGGTGGGAGCAACATGGATGCTTATCATTTCCCATCAAACAAGGTCCAGAGGTAGGGGAGAGCTTCTGGGCTGGCCGACGATGATGACTCCACAGTGCTGCCCAGGATGCAGGCTCTGGCGCTTTCTCTGCCTTGCCAGTCTCAGGGTCAGCTTTATCCTCAGGCTGGTAGAAAGACAGAGCTGCAGTTCCTAGTGCTCACGCCCGAGCGCCACAGGGTTCAGGGAATGAGGAGAGTCCATACCAGTCTGTGGCTCTCTCTTTGGAGAAAACGTTTCCCAGACGCTCTCCAGCAGAGCCCTCTCGGGTCCCGTTGGACAGAATTGGGTCTCACGACCAGTCTTGAGCCATCCCTGCCTAAGGGAAGGACTCACCATGATTGGCTCAGACGCATCCTCTGGGTGTGGAATGGATTCGGGAGGAGGGGGCTGAGCACGCCACCACGGACCGATGCAGGTGATAGATGTCAAGGGCCTGGTGGGCCCTCAACTACAAAGAGCTCCCTTCCATTTCCATCTTGGAATGCTCCTCTGATTAGGTGATGTGTTCGAGGAAGGCCAATGTCAGATGGCCCTCGCATCCAGGGAGAGCAAGGTCTTTGATAGGGACCTGGTGGAGGCTATTTGTTTATGAGAAACTGAGTTCCATTCAACCTCGATCAAATACAAAGGGGTTTGGGGCACCTGGGTGGCTCAGTTGGTTAAGCGACTGCCTTCGGCTCAGGTCATGATCCAGGAGTCCCGGGATCGAGTCCCACATCAGGCTTCCTGCTCGGCGGGGAGTCTGCTTCTCCCTCTAACCCTACCCCCTCTTGCGTTCTCTCTCTCACTCTCTCTCTCTCTCAAATAAATAAAATCTTTAAAAAAAATAAAATAAAATCTTAAAAAAAAAAAAATACAAAGGGGTTTGTGAAAAGATTTGAGAGTACTGCCAGACCCCTCCAACCATCTCCCATCTCA